ATTACGAAAATACTTGGTATTTTTCAAAAGCCCTGAATATGGATGATAACGTTGGAAGTTCGTTTAAATTAAAAAAAAATTTCTAGGGTTAGAGGGGGCCCGTCTCATATTTAGTACCGGCCCCGGACGATAATACAAGTTTCTATTATTAAATGAAAGAAAACTAACTAATAAAAGAACACCTGTAAAGTAATAAGTGTTTATGTTATTTTCTTTTGAAACCAGATAAAAGTTGGCCGTTATAAGTGGACCAACAGTTGGCGGCTATTGTAGTAGACGACTACGAAATTCCCACAGGCTATACATGTATATACATTAGACTGCATCACTCCCCATACAAAAAAACATCGGTACTATTTCCCCAGTGGAATTATAAAATATATTATATTTTAAGACGTCCACCAAAATATTTTGGAAAAATATTAAGATTTAAGTGAGCTGGACCGATTTGAAAATACTTCCAAAAATGGAGTTTTTTATGAACAAAATAGTTTCGTAAAGTTTTTTTTTGAAAAAATCCTCTCAAATGACAGAACGGTTTAAGCTTAAAATATTTGCATAAAAACATTAAAAAAATTTTTTTTTTTAAATTTTGAACGGAATCGTAATGAGATCTTTGATGCTGTTTTTTAACTTTTTTCAAAGATTATATATAGGAAAAACTTGAATAACTGAACCTAAAATCTTTCGATTTAGACTTTTTATTTCTTTGCTAATAAGATCATTCAAAGGATGGAAGAGAAAGGTAGGATGAACGAACGTCATTCAAACAAAGTTGAATTAAGATGTGTTGGTATTCGAAAAAACAAGATGGGACACGAATGACGTTTTTTGACCAGAAATAAAAACAGTGTGAAAATACCTTTCTGCTGAGATCCCCAAAAAGTCGAAATCAGAACATTTTTGGCCCAGTTATTCAAGTTTTTCGTAAACCATTCTTTGAAAAAAGTAAAAAAAACAGCATCAAAAATCTCATTACGATTCCGTTCAAAATTTAAAAAAAAAATTTTTTTAATGTTTTTATGCAAATATTTTAAGCTTAAACCGTCATTTGAGAGGATTTTTTCAAATCGGTCCAGCTCGCTTAAATCGTAATATTTTTCCGAAATATTTTGGTGGACGTCTTAAAATATAATACATTTTGTAATCCCGGCGGAAAACCTGCAACTTTTTTGGTGATGCAGTCTACTATACATACATATCGAGCCCTAACTGCCGAAAACGTGAGCGACATTTTTTTTTTTCAAAATTTTCTTTTTGTTGCAGAAATGCATCTGGATGCTCTAGGAATATTTCTGCCTCAAAAAGAAAATTTTGAAAAAAATGTCACTTACGTTATTTTGGTGGTTAGGGTTCGATATTTAAAAAATTATTCATTTACAGTCTTAGTTATACTATACTTAAATGCGAAAATGTCGGCAGAAAATCGAAACAGTTACCGTTTTTGAAATCGGCACTTGCCGCGATTTTGAAATTCACGTATTATAACTCGGGAACACTCCCCCAAAATAGTCTAATCGGAAATTCCATCGTTCCAGACCGATTCAGTTGAATCTGGTTCAAGGACACCGTGATTTGTTAATAAATTTCTGAAGTTCAGGAATGCATTTCTCTGCATAAGTCTGAGCAGAAACTGCTAAACCGCCTTTAAAAAATACCGGTTCACTTATCCCACGCTCACTGATTGTTAGCCACAACAAAACTTTTCCGGGGAACTTAGTTTTTTTGAATATATTTCACTTCGTCGGATGCTTTGCGTTTTTCAGACTCGAAGTAATGCCTGGGCTGCCATTCGTTGCCTTCTACTGTGAAGTAGCTCTCATCATCTATAACACATTTATAAGTCGAAGATGTGGCAAAGTATTTTTGGGAAAGTAACCGCAACCTAGATTTAATTACTTTTTCCTGCTTTTCTGTAGTGGCTGGTTTCGATTTTCTTTTTTTAATTTGAACGTTCATAGATTCCAAATATTTTTTATAGTATTTTTATCAACTTTGTGTTTTCGACCCAACTGTCGGTACGATTTTGCTTTTGCATGTTTTTAAAATTATGAAAAATTGCACTTTTGCTTTCATCGGGATTATTTTCACAAAATTTCCAAATTAATTCGCGGCGCTGCAACTCGTTCAAAGACATTTTTACGACTAAATGTATGCACATCGAAATGATTTGTATGCGACAACATCAAGAAGATATCCCGTTATATTTTTACATTGGAAGTTGTTTTTTGCAAATTTAGCGCTATTTTGTGTTTGTTTTCACAAGATGTGTTCGGATTTCATTCACCATACGTTAAGTTCTTTATATCCCCCTTTTGTCCAACATAAGGCCTCATACTCAGCAATCAAATATACTCGGAACTGGTGACCGGGACGACCATTCATTCGACCAACCCTATACAGTTTTTTTTTTTTTTGTTTTTTTTTTATACAAAGTCTAAGAAAAAATACACCTTAGCTCCCAAAGTTTACACTGCCGGCAAATGCAAATAAGGATACAAAATTTAGAACTAATTATTAAAATTAAAGTACAATATATACAAAATTAACAATAAAATACTTTTTTCGCAAAACCTATAAAGCACCCTTTTATTAAAAAAAACCTGTGCGACAGTTATTATTTTATACCCTGTAAATTCAATGAAAGGAAAATTCGCACTGAAAATCCGATAAGGCTAAGATAGTTCGAAATCTTTTAATAAAAAGCGAATTCCTCTGATTTATATAGAGTTTTGCTTTGCTTTAAAGAGCCAAAATGTTGTATTCAAAGTTTTGCGAAATACTTTAAGAAAATGGCTATAAGCAGTTTTTTTCCTCCTGTAAAATTTTTCAAATGGGATTTAGCAACTCCAACCTAGCGATATGCGGCTTGCATTCAACAAATACAAATAATTTTCAATAAATAAAACAAGTACCTTTATCCTTTTCGAAAAAGTGCATTTTAAATTTCTCTTGCCTCCTGTATCTAAATATGAGTTTTCATAAAAAGTGAAATTAGAAACTTTTCATTCTAATCTAGCGATATGTTTATTAAGTAGCTCGATAATTGAACTTTAAGGTTGACTTACCCATGGAATATCCCATACGTTATATCCAATAATTGCACAAATTTGCACTAGTCTTTTATAAATTAGTCTGTTCGCTAATAAGTTCTTGTAAATGCCAAATTGTTTTTTCGAAGATCAAAAAGGACTCGCAAAAATTGGTTCAGGAATTAATCGAAGTACTAATTTATTATTTCTTCGTTAAAAGAAGCTTTTCTTAAGTTAATATTTTGTATATGGCACAAATCGCCGAAAACGAAACCAAGGGGAAAATTTTTTTTCTCAGGTTTCGCAGATTTTGGATTATATCTGGGTGATACATATTCTAAGGTATCGAACAACATCAATATTAACGCGAATCTCCTTCTCTAAAACATGAAAATTCACTTATTCTTGAGACACCTTTAAATAAACGAAAATTAAAAAAGCAAAACATGAAACTAAAGGGTAGTTTATATTTAAGGTCCACCACTTTTTTGCATTATGCTTGCCTCTCTTCGCTTGCCTTGTATTATTTTGAATTAAATAAAAAAAAGTATTCGACAAACAAATCAGCGATTAGTTTTCTATATTAAAATCAAGTGGGCAGTATTTTTTAATGTAATGTAACAGTCTAAAATATTAAAAAGTTTTTTGGCGCGGAATCCACCAAACTAGAAAAAGGAAAAATATAGTTTTCTTCGAGCATTTTCGACCTTATTTCACAGTAAAATAAAATAGTTCCACATACTCTTCAGTACCAATATGTTTTCGGTGGAAAGCTATTTGTAACGTAACAGTCTTTTGAACTAATTTAATTTTTAGGTAACCTTTTTTCCTATTTAGTTAAAGATAGGGCTCATTTTACAAGCAACATTGGAAGCTATTCAACGTGTTATTCTCCCATAGTTAAAACTGTTATTTTTTCTAACTTATATAAACTAAGAAGATAAGAATTACGTAGAAAAATAAAAAAACGCGAGAATTATATTATTTCAAAAAGGAACGAAGTCAAGAGAAGCGAAATAAGAAGCGGAAAGAAGATTTATTCTACAAAATGCCGAGTGCTCGAATCTAACATTTGAAGGGTAAGAATATTACTGAATACCATAGAGCAAACAAAATAAGCCATTAAAGCCGTTTTTCGTGAAATTAAACGCGAAAAACTCAACAACTTGGCGCAATTCTAAGATCGAGTTCGAGTTCTACGCAGAAAATGACTTCGGAAACAACATACGGCTGCATAGCATCAGAAACTTTGCAATCTGTATTCATAATTATCATGTTCTTAATTTCTTTGAATTACTTGTCACATCGCAAGACTCCTGAATTTATGCTACTTATTGCATAAAACACACTAAAAGCGATTTAAATACCTAATTACAATCCTATCGCTACACGTATATCGCACAGGTAACGTAACAGTATTTTTCCGTAACGTACCAGTCCGACTATTTTTTACAAATATTGACCTCAAAATTAATTTTATCAGTTCAATTAATACGTAGTTCTTGAATTCCATCCTGAAGCTAGGAAACTGTGTACCAACTTTTGAAAACATTATATTAGGAGAGCAGACTTTTCCAATAATATAAAGCAACTTTAAAAAGTACTTTCAAAAATTGTAATGCAACAGTCCACTGTTGAAACATTCATAACTCCTAAACCACAGGAGTTACAATATATGTTTGTATGTATTAAATAATGCCACATACTTATGCTTTCAGATGCAAAAAGAAAAATTATCCGAAAATTGTATTCTCGCGAGTTTCAGCGGTATTTAAAAATCAGTTTGAGCCAAAATGTAATGTAACAGTCCGCGTTTTGGGCCATATGCATATTTAACTCTATTTGCTTTTAGTGCCTTCTTACGATTTTTTATTGCCTCATAAAGTCTTTCCTTTTCGTGATTTTTTATTTATTTTAAGTCCTAAAAATCTTTAGAGGAGCATCATCCGTCGTTTTACATATACGAAAATGATTGATATTATCGAAAATATTATTTTTTTTTATTTCAGGGTTAAAATTCAAACGGTGGCCGCTAAGGGGGAAACTGAACCGGAGCGCAAAGAAACGCGTGGCAAAGTAGACGAAGATCGCAAACATGAAATTGAAGCAGCTATTGTTCGTATAATGAAAGCCAGAAAACGATTGCCGGTATATAATGTTTTTTTTTACTTAATTGAATGAATATGGCTTCAAAAATTATTTTTATTTTTATATAGCACAACTTGCTTGTTTCTGATGTTACATCACAACTGAAGTCTCGATTCCTACCGTCTCCTGTTTTCATCAAAAAGCGAATAGAAGGCCTTATAGAAAGAGAATATTTAGCAAGGACGCCGGAGGATCGAAAAGTTTATATATATCTGGCATAAACTCGCATAAGACCTACTCTGAAAAGAATAGCAGATAAGATTAGCGAAAAAGAGTCTTAAGCAAAGGCAATAGCAATTCATTAAGACTATTAATCGTATACTGCATGATCCCCACTTAACAAGCTAACGTACCCGCTATATCTAACTTTCATCAAGGTTTCGTATTTTTTTTTCTTTTTTGTTATCTATACTTTACCTTTGTCACGCCAAAATTTGGTCTACAATAAACGATTTCGGTCCTCCTTTCAAATTTTGACTTTTGCTTATGCCTACTACTACAAACCTTTCTCGAGAATTTGGGAATTTCAAAAAAAAATAACTTCAGATGAATACAGAGAATTTTTAAATACCTCCGCTTGTTTGTTTTTTTATGCGAAAATTTCTCGCATCCAATATTCACGTCGAATCTGTGCAAGTTCGCGTTTAGGTGAAACTTAAGGACCGTTCGGTTGGTTTAAGATAAATTATAGATAAGCGTCACGCGGAAACAGAAATATTTGGAAATCAGCCAAGCGATAATAACTATATCGATCTGAACAAAGGAACAGCATATTAGATAAAACCTAAAAGTCGAACAATTCAAAATTTTTTAGCCTAACCTAATATAAACGTAGGCCGTCTAATGCCTGCGACACACATGTAGTATAGTAATTACCATGTATGTAATACATCTATATAGGAAGTACGTTGAAAGTAAATCCGCCAACATTAGAGTGCAGATATATAACACTGTACGAAAAAATCAACTTTTTTCTGGGTATTGGACCAAACGAATTTTTTTTAAGAGCTTGAGTCATAGGTAAAACAGTAATTTCTCCGTTTTTCGAAGTTGGCCTCCGAAATCGAGATATGGGCCTTCGAAGTTCGAAATAGGACCTTAGGTAAAAAATTATATTTAATTATTGCATGTAATTAACTAACAACCTAAAAATATAGACGTAGTCCTCCTTTTGCTGTTATTTAAATGGTAAATAAAACCTTTTTGTGCAAACTTATATTACAGGTGCTATAAGGGGTCAAAGTTCAGGTCTTCGAAAAATTAAATTCCTTATATTGCAAACAATTTTGAACTGATTTTTAAAAAATGTATATCGTTGTAAAGGAGATTAAACCCCCTTTCTTCCGATATCCATATTTGTACACTTGGTATATAAAAATTTTTAGAAAAAACATTTAAATGAAAAAATACCTTTTTTTTATAAAAAAAATATTTTAAACAAAAAAAAACTAACCGATTTTTAAGAAATTGGTGGCGTTGTAAAGGCGATTAAATACCTTTCTTCTGAAATGCATATTTGCATACTTCGTATATAACAATTTGAGAAAAAACGCCTAAAAGGAAAAAATAACTTTTTGTATCAAAAAATATTTTAAACTGATGTAATTTTTATTACAAGCTTTTATTTAACTTCACTTGTATGTATGTATGTATGTATGTATGTATCTATGTATGTACATATGTATGTATGTATCTTTGTATGTCCTGGAACTTTGCAGTCAATATTTAACAAACTTCCCAATGAGCTACAGATTTGAAACTTCAAACTTAGTTCAGAACTCGAGGACAATGCAATATATAACATGACTTAATCCGCTAGGTGGCGCAGGAGTCGAGATATTTGTAAAACCCGCATTTATAGTCTGATTTGGTTCATATTTATAACATATATTACTTATATGAAAATAAATAAATCCACAAAAAAGTTGGCCGATAGGTGGCGCAGGAGTCGAGATATTTGGAAAACCCGTGTTTATGATCCGATTAAGTTCGAGATATTTGTAAAATCGTGTTTATAGTCTGATGTGGTTCATATTTAGAACATATATTACTTGTATGAAAAGAAATAAATCCACAAAAAAGTTTGCCGAGAGGATTTGGAAAACCCGTGTTTATGATCCGATTAAGTTCGAGATATTTGTAAAATCGTGTTTATAGTCTGATGTGGTTCATATTTAGAACATATATTACTTGTATGAAAAGAAATAAATCCACAAAAAAATTTGATGATAGGTGGCGCAGGAGTCGATATATTTGTAATAACATTTAGAATGCATATTGCTTACATGAAAAGAAATAACTACACAAAAAATGTTGGCAGTTATATGGCGCGTGAGTATATATAATTAAAAAAAAATCAGCATCTGTGCTCCGATTTGGTTTATATTCAGAATATGTGTATTACCTATTTAAATTGAAATATATTGAAAATTTTGTTTGTTAAGGTCAAATCTAGCACGTTAGGTAAAAAATGTAGCTAAAAAGCAGGTCGCGGAAAATTTTGGTCGCGAAAGATTAATAGTACGACCTTCTCATATTAGCTCGTTTTGCGATTGTATTTTACCGCTGTAAATACTTAAGAAAACGGTCGTGAGCGAAAACATTTTCGCCTGCTTCGCATGCACGCGCAAATACAGATTCAGGTAGTGACTTACTAAGCCTTTTTCACGAAAAGTAGTTTGTATTCTATTGTTTTATGAATATGCGTATGTAGATGTCGTTTCTGATCTTAACGATCATTAGTATGCTCGTAAGAGATCGTAAACGCTTTTATGCGCCGTGGAACTTTATAAATCACTATAAATTGAAAGTTATGAGGTTTTAACCGCGATTAGTTACAGAAAGATCGTACTTTGATCATTCTCCGCACCCTACTAAAAATTTCAAAAAAATAGTATACAAAAAAATTTAAAATGAAATTATAGTTAAAAAACTAAAAACACGCTTTTATTACAACAAGAACTAAAAAGTATAATATAATTGATATATATAGCGATTCGGTTTAAGAAGAATAGGAAGTTCCCTAACTTGATTTAATTTAACTTTTTTAAATCAGCTAAAAATATGATTAAAGTGATTGGCCCGTAGTCATAGACAAAATAAACTCCACTGTAAAGTTTGTTGCAGTTTTTTTTTACAGATATCCCATTGAAAATTGTGTCAAAAAGCTGCAATTATTGAATTGATTGAATCCCCTTTCTTCTGATATGCATATTTGTACATTTCGTATATAAAAATTTGAGAAAAAACACACTTAACCTTAGGATTACCAAAGATTATTTGTACGAAGTTTACCAATACCCACCCGGGTGACCCATACACTTTTGCTCGTGTTCCGGACTATACTTATGTGCTATAGCTTATTATTGCGGAAATTTTTTTATTATTATGACTATTTATTTGATTTGAAATCGCTGAAATATATAATTTCATTATATACTGAAAGCTTCGATTAGTAATGAAGTGGATTTTATATTATTTTCCTGTAAGTCGAANCAAATGAAGTCCAGAAAAGAGATGCAACTGGCCGAATAAAGGTCAAAGGTAAATGCTACAAATGTCGTACCATGAAACAAAGCAGGAACACGCGCCAAATCTGCATAAAATGCAAAAAGCCTATTTGCGCAGAGCATAGTGTAAGCCAAACGAAATGCGAAAACTGCCATGCGGGCCCTTTAACATTTCGCAGCATAAGGAACTGATTTTTTCTTTTCAATGTTCTTTGAATGCAGCAAAGAAAAATATGTTTGTACAAGTTTTATATCTATGTACATTCATAAATAAAGGTACATAAGTAAACAATAAAAGTATGTACATATGTATGTATGCATATGGAGAAATATACGGTGGTAACCCGGGTGGGTATCGGTAAACGGCGTTCATAAAATGAAAAAGTCAATAAAAATACACATTTCGAGTTTTAAAAAAAATTAAATTTTTAATTTTCTGAAAGAATTCGTAATTTTGATCAGTGAGCAGAAAGCATTTTTAGATTGGAGCAAAATTTGCTGGATAATCAAGAAATTAAATTCTGAAAGGTCACCCGGGTGGGTATTGGTAATCCTAAGGTTAAAGGAAAAAGTACCTTTTTTTATAAAAAAAAATTTTAACAAAAAAATTACCAACCGATTTTTACAAAATTGCTATCGCTCTAAAGGTGATTAAACCCCTTTCCTCTGAAACACATATTTGTATACTTCGTATATAAAAATTTGAGAAAAATCACATTTAAAGGGAAAAATAACTTTTTTTTAAATATTTTAAACAAGAAAATTACCAACCGATTTGTAAGATTGATAACGTTGTAAAGGTGATTAAACCCCCTTTCTTCCGATATCCATATTTTTACACTTCGTGTATAACAATTTGAGAAAAACACTTAAAAGGAAAAAATACCACTTCTCATAAAAAATATTTTAAACAAAAAAATTACTAATTAGTAATACAATTGAATACTTTATTTAAATAAAACAGAAAATTACCTTTAATTCTCATATATAACCTGTTATGTAAAAAATCAAAACCCATGGTGTCTTTATATTTTTAAATGCCTTAGACTTCTGTTACATATACTTTTGCTTTATTTTTAACAGGGCTGTGTGTGAACAAGAACGAATTTAAGCTTGAAACACTAATAATTATTTGTTTCATTTAAATACGGTATTCAATTGTATTACTAATTAGTAATTTTTCTGTAAATTTTTTTTTTATAACAAATTGGTATTTTTTCCTTTTAAGTGTTTTTTCTCAAATTTTTATATGCAAAGTATAAATATGCATATCACTAGAAAGGCGGTTAAATCACCTTCACAACGATACGAACTTTTTGAAAATCAGTTCAAAATTTTCTGAAATAATTATGGCCTTATTCATAAAAAATAAAGTAGGTTTAAAGAGCTTTATAAAATTACGTTTTCATACATTTTTCAGTTTATAAACCTTTTTGAAAGCTACTTTATTTTTTATGAATAAGGCCATTAGTTTTTAATTTTTCGAAGATCTCACCTTTGACCCTTTATAGCACCTGTAATATAAGTTTTCACATTTAAAAAAATTATATACCATATAAATAAAAGCAAAAGGCGGACCACGTCTGTATTTTTTTCTTTTTTTGCTTTTTACATGCAATAATTAAAAATAATTTTTTACCAAAGGTCCAATTAAATTAAATTTTAATTTTAAAAGCAAAAAAATTAAATAATTTTGCGGAAATGTGCTGTTTGTAGAAGCAAAAAAGTAAAGAAAATGAAATCGTATTGCATGTGTCGGTATGTTGTTCCGTATCAGGGAAAACGGGCAGATACTACATGGCGGCTAAGGCGCTGGAAAGGAAGGCACGCATCCTCACAGTATATCTTTTAAAAGTGGTTACGGTGATCGCCTCAAATGTAACTCATACATCTCTTGCTGCTAATTCAAATCCGCCGGTTACCACAAAGCTTGCACCAATCACTTTCAGGGAAAAATTTATTTAAACCGCTCCTGGAGTGACTTGACAGTTGTTCGTTTGTAGTAATTCACAAATATACATTTATACTAACACAAGAAAACATTTTCATAGGCCGTCTCCCTTTGATTGCGAATAAAAACACATTGTGAAGATACTTTACTATCAATATAGAAGTATTACTTGTATATGGTAGTTGGTAGTTGCTACGTAGCAACGGCAAGCTACAATATTGATATTGTAGTTTCTATACCACATAAGGGTAACACACGTGTGGTATAGATACGGTGACCATCCGTCCTATTTTTCGCAGGACCGTACTGTTATTCAAAGGTCAGTCCTGCGTAGTTTTTAAAAATAGCAAAACCTGTAAATGTACTGATTTTTCCAAGTGTCCTGCATTTGTCCCGCATTTCATTCGATATTTTAAAATTAACTTCGGTAGCCTTTTATTGATCAAAATATAAATACTGTCGATAACTGATTGATAAGTACATGAGAGTGAGCCTGATTTTGAAGCTTCAGCACGTCAATGCGTTCTAGATTTTATGCGGTCACAAACAA